CTCTCTCTCTCTCTCTCTCTCTCTCTCTCTCTCTCTCTCTCTCTCTCTTTCATTTATTTTCTTTCTTTTACGGATGCATCAGTGGCAATCGGGAGTTGCGCTAGTGTTTGATTTATCGTGTGCTTGTGCGTGCGCTTCCTTCAGAAACGGCCGAGTTTGGCGCCGTTCAACGTGAGGAAGGATGTACTATTGTTGATACCTTCGTCTGATAGACTGCAGTGCCCTCGTTCCTCTCCATGATTCACCAAACCACCTTCGCCTTCCTCGTGCTACTCTTCTTGCTTACCAAGCCTGCAACTTTAGTTTAATCTTAAGATATCTGTCAGTGAGGCACACCCCAGCATCATGTGCCCACAGTTGTGCACACATCTCCATACATTTTCCTTTGGCCTCATTTGTGGGACATCAAAGTGAGCTTGCAAATATACTATTGCGTTACAGTAAGTGTGCTCTTAGAAAACAGTGTTTACCCTTATGGGTGTGGGAAAATTCTCTCTTACGCAAGTGCGGTCTTACAGACCAGCTGAGATCGGTGCATGTTTCTGTTTAACTTGATCGGAGACTTGGTGCCTTCATTGATGTAAACGAGATCGGTGTATATAGATATATGCAGCACCTGATGGAGGAGGAAGATATGAAATTCCGGTTTTAGTTTAAAGGTTAATTCATACATATGGATGATATTCCGACTTAATACTTTTCTTGTTTAGTTGGGTTGAACATTCCTAATACTGGCAGTGTGAGCTAGTGGCTTCTGAAGACAAACATCCACTCGAAATCATATGGTTTACGTTAATTCACATCTGTTTATATTCTTTCAGGAAGCTGCTGTCCTCAGACGAGATTATTGTCGAGTCAACTCCATGGAGCGATGATGGCATGTGAGATCAAGACTTGAGAGAGAGAGAGAGAGCATAAAGCGCAAGGATCTGAAGGAAGTGTTTGTGCGCTTGTGAATTCTCTTAAACTAGACAGCTACTCACTAGTTTTCTGATGCACCGTACATTGCTATCAGTCTATCATCTACCCTTCTTCATTCCCCACCCTTTTTGTGTGCACGTAGGGGCATTTGGGGGAGGAAAGTTCTGATATGAATGGGTTCTTGGTGATGGAAACAGTACTCTGATGGCGAGGCTATTTTGCAGCAGAAAGAAAGCTCTCTCACAGCGATCACTGTTGTGGTCTCAGCGAGCGTGGAAAGATAGGACGGCTCTACGGCCTATGCCGTTCCTTTGCCATGTAGCGTGTCCTCACCTCCGTTGTCTTTGCTCGCAGCTCATGCCGACGATACCCTTCCCTGACTGCTTGGCTGAGTGTACAAATATTCTCTAATTCCATCATGATTTCATATTAATTTATGGTCTTATCTTTACTCTCAGAAAAAAAAATTAAGTTCTAAGAGTTCAGGATATAGAAGTCAGATTCAGTGGTGTTCGTCAATTCTGTGGGCTGATGTAAATTTCCCTTCCGGCTACTTTACACACATAGAGATCCACTTTATTGGAATGCTAAGTATGAGGTAGCAAGCAAGAGATACTGGATGAAGCATTGGCAGATCTTGAAGAGTTTTGACTTCACTTGCGCTCTCCTGCCGTCAGCTTCCTCGCTTCCTAGTATTCTATCTTCCATATTGTATGGCCACCGAGTGCTTTTGCCGTCACTTGCATGGAGGAGCATTGATTGCATGATTCGTCGCATAAGGTACATTTACATCTGCAACTATCAACAAGTGCATCAACCATTTATTTTACTGATGAACCATGGAACTTGGTTTTCCCTAAGGGTCTGCCAGATTGAAACAGTGGACCACAAGAAACAAACAACAAGACGAATAATCAACGGTTTATTGTGTCTAGAGAAATGTGTTTTATTTAACCAAAATATTGTCATTTTTTTAAGTGGGAAAATCTTGCTACTCTTAAGCATTTTGTGATCAGAATGAAATATTTTCATTGAGACATATCCTTGATATGAGAAGAAACCTTCAAAGTATATTGCAGGTGGCTGGCTTTGTAAATATAAAGGGGGCGGTATCCATCCATGAGGTCTCCATATATTGAAGCGACCCTTTTGACCGTCTCAGGTACTCTTCTCTCTCTATCTCTCTCTTTCTCGCTCTCTCGCTCGCGTCCGTCCATAACTGTTCTGTTTCTCGCGATCGGTCAAGACTCGAAAAGAGAGGAGAAAAAGGTAATAATAAGCACGCGCAATTGATCAAATCGGGCTGCTTTTGGCGGCCTGGATCTCCTAATCTCCTGATCGTACGGCGGTGGGCGGGCTTGTCGGCCGCTTCTACGTGCGTAATCCTTCAAGAAACGGGGACGAAGGAACCGCCTTTACCCTGTTTCTCCTCCACTTTGACGCATTGAATCCGCCATAACTGTTATGTTTCTCTGCGATTGAGTTGCATTGGCGAAGAAAAAGGAAGAACAGATAGAAGGAAGGAATAGTACGATTACTCTTCGAGGCTTTGTATGCAACTATTCCCTTTTTTTTTTTTTCTTTCCTCTGTTTGAGGTACCCCGAGCTCTTGATTTTATGTATTCGAGGAATCTCTAGTGAAAGCCTTCTCTCCGTTGGGCGGTTCTTTATTTGTTTCTGGTGGTGTCTTCAAAATTTGCTAAAGCTCGTTCCTTTTTAATTTCTTCGTATCATTTGCCGTCTCTGTGCTGGGTTCTGTTAGTTTTCATCCGGTGCTCCGTGACGAGATCATCCTTCTCTGTGAACGTTTGTGTCCTGAATCTTTAGTTGGGTGCTTGGTTCTGAGGCTATTAATCAAGGTGAATGATCACTGGTGTAGTTTTGGCAGGTACCTTGCTTGTAGTTTCCTTAGACATGGGCCACTTAGATGCTCCCAAGTTTGGGTTTTGGATTGTGATCGAGGTTTATAAATTAGCGACAAGAGTTTTTGGGTTTTTCTTTTCTTTTTGAGTGGTCTCATTCGTCTTTCCACTTTTGCTTCGAAAGATTATTTCTTTTAATTTCTTTATTAACGTTGGCGGTTGATTAGCAGCCGTAGATGCACAATATAATGGTTTTGTGAAGTTATCTATTATTGCGCTGCACTCTGTACCTTTTCCCATTTTTTTGAGATTTTAAAACTGAAAAAGCTGCTTATTGGAGTATTATTCTTTTTTTTGTGTGCTCATCTAAGGATTCTAACTCTTTTTGTAGGTGAATTTTTTAAGAATAATCTTTTTTCTTGTCTGATGTGTGGCAGCGTTGCTCGTTTAAGAAGTTGATGCATTCTTTCTCTTTCTTTTGTGTCCTGGTAGATCCCTTGGTCTTTTCAACATATGGTTCTATATGACAGTTCATGGGTATAACATTTTGATTGTTGGAACGAGTGTTGGCTGACATTTCCTGTTTCTTTTCATTTTACTTCAAGTGATTGGAAAAGTTTTGGAACTTAAACGTTAACATTGTTCATCAGGAACGATTTCTGCTCTTATTTAGAATTCTTTATAATAA